GGGAAAACAATGAAAAGATATTGAATGATGAAGCGGGGAGATTAATGTCTCTGTACTGACTGACATGCATGGCATTCCCTTTGAAAGAGCAATGTAATACACTGTAAAGTTAGATGCAATTCGATGTAATATAAACAGGATTATGATGATAATAAAAATAAATTAAAAACAAGAAGAAATAGGGTTACCAGTGTATTCGCCATCTCCAGCATGCAGGTTGATCTGTGGGCCTGCGATCCTGGGTATGGTAGGAGTCATTTAACCAGGAAGGCATTGAATATCTGGATGAGCATTTAGACATGAAATACGTCTGATGTGCAGTAGGTGCATGAAGGAAAGTGCAGTGAATTTATAAGCATCTCACTGAAACTTTGTGGAGAGACAACCTGAGAAGCTTATAGCAGCCAGGTTATAGACTCTAGTTACACAATGGCATTGATTGAAGATGTGCACAGGCTGTTGATACTACCTTTTCTCATTTATGCTATTTTAAATCAGTTTATACAAGGGCTTTCATAGGTTTAATTTAGGTCTTAGTGTCTCTCTCTCTCTCTCAACCCTATATTTACTCATTAAGTCTCATGTTACTTCGCTCTGAATTCTCTCACTGTAGGTGTTCTCAGGAATAAAACTCCTACTTTGGAGTTTAATTTACGTCTTAGTGTCTCTCTCTCTCAACCCTATATTTACTCATTAAGTCTCATGTTACTTAGCTCTGAATTCTCTCACTGTAGGTGTTCTCAGGAATAAAACTCCTACTTTGGAGAAGATTACGAATAGCCCTAAACCTGAGGGGATCATCTGTGTTCCTTGGAACCTGTGTCCTACTTTAGCTTACTCTAAGCTCCTCCAGCCGCCACACTTTTCTGCACTTGCAGTACTTGGTTTAGTTCTATGCTAAGTAAATACTCTGTTGGTTTATACTTGGGATAATACTGCTACTTACATAGTGTGTCTGTGTTCCCAGTGAATTTATTTTATTTCTGTCCACAGAAAGTAGCTGTAGGGTAAGTGGATGACGCTAAAATTAAACTGTGTTTGTACCCCTCTAGGTGGCATCCCAGCGCATTAGCTCCGTGGACTTATCATGCTGCAGCCTGGAACATCTGCCTGCCAACCTCTTCTACAGCCAAGACCTCACTCATCTGAACTTAAAACAAAACTTCTTAAGGCAGAATCCCAGCCTGCCTGCTGCCAGGGGTCTCAATGAACTGCAGAGGTGAGCCCGCAGGAATGGGTAACTCATTGAGAAGGGAGGGAGAATTGGCTTCTGGTTGTTCGCTCTTGAATATTCTATCTGAAAGAGCTGTAGTATGTAAACTTTCCGTGTCAGAGGTCAGGGCACTAGGACTGTGTTCATTAGTGAGAACATCAGTTCTCATCCTGAAATTTTTTTTCAAAGTTCCTGACTTTGAAATGAATGCTGTTTGGTATTCATTAACTGGGTAGCTATAGATAATAATGATTCTCTTTAATCCGTTTTTATTCCTTAAGTTATCTATGGACACATAAGTGAGAAGTTACTGACATTTGATGTGTTACTTCTGAACTTCAGGGCTTTGTTCAGATTAAATTATTGCTTTTGAAATTCACAACAGGTCAGTTTTTTCATGAAAAGACATTTCTTTAGAAATTTAAGAACCAAGCTTTAAATTTATTAATGCCTTGTCATCTGGGCGATTAATGTAAAGGTTTTTTTTTTTTTTTAAAGAATTATTTTTTATTTAATTTTATTCATTGTCATTATCTTATATTTTATTTGTTTGAAGTTGACTAGAGACAGTGAGAGAGAAGGAAAGTGAGAAAGCAAGCTGCCAGGTCCAGGACTTGAACCGCAGTCAGCCATGTGGGTGTCCAGCTGCCTTAACCACCATGCCACCTGCTGGCCCCTATTAAGTGAATAGGATCTGCTGAGGCCTCCCCCTGCCATTCAATTGCCAGAGAGTGCATGTGCTTATCAGAGAGAGACAAAGAAAGAGATGGAGAGGGGGAAGGAGAAAGTACTCCCAAGTGAGTATGGTCATGTCACAATCCCTTCTCCATTTCTCCATTCCTCAGGATTTGGGGCACACATGCACATGCACTCAATGTGTTTCTCAAGTCGCCAGAACCCAGGTTCAAACTGCTTGGTCATGTGAGATTCAGCTCCGTTAATAGTAGGTTTTGGAGTTGGCCCTACTACTTTATAATTAGAAGTGATTTGACTTGCATGTTTCTAAAAGAGATACAAGAATTCAGTATATTCATTTCCTTTCTTATTTTGGAACAATGATCAATCTTGATTCTATGGTAAATGAAGCCTCTGATACTTATATATTTATTGCTGATATATGAGATTATAGCTGTAAAACAATGTAATTGTTTTAAATAAATAATGGATAGTTCATTTATTTTTAAATGACTGCTGTGATCAGAGATTAAACCATAATGATTAAGCATTATGATTATGTGTTTATTGATTTTAACACCCAGAAAGAATAATTACTTATTTTATACCTTGTTTATCTGGTTTGAAAATGGAAGACTATGTTGTCTTTTCAGATAATTGCAAATATTCTTCTTTGATACTGTACCAAAACATGACAAATGGTCAGTTTATTATGTGCCAAGCAAGGAGAGCCGGCAGCACATGCTGAAAAGACCCGGTCTCATCAAGGTGTTCCCCACGTGCATTTTTAAGGGCAAAATTAGGGGCAGAGGTCATCTTATTGCATTAGATATTGGTCATTTGGAAGGTATTTGTTCATTGTATAATACAGATATTATAAATGTTACCATTTTTTAAATGCAGTTTTAAGAAGTCACATTTATTAATATTAGCATTAATCTTACTAGAAAACTTTCACAGTGTTGGGTAGTTATCAAGCTCTCACTGTGGAACCAAGTTTTCCAATTTAATTTTCACTTGAAAGCTTGAAGGCTAGCATTGGCGACAAATACCATCAGTTGTTTTTCCTGAAGCAACTTTTTCACTTCATATTTGAGAAAACATCTGCCAGATACCCAAGAATGTATGACCGTAGTTTGACAGTTAGTTCTTTCAAGAGGAAATGGTGATGAAAATAGTGACTAGTTCGCCTCACAACTCAAGGGAGTATGCCAGTGTTTTTCTTGTGATCGCACTTTCCATTGTTCTTGACTATGTGCCAGAAGCGCTTTGCAGGTAGTTCCGACTTTATCTACTTTTTCTAATTTGAAAGATACGTACTTGAGTTGAGATGCAATAAAAATAACTTTCCGGCATCATCAAGAACACTCTTAAGTAAAACTGGCATTACAGGTTTTTTAAAAGAATATTTTTACTGGCAGAGAAGACTACAGTGACAACTGGGACAGGTTCGGTTGCAGCAGTGAATTACTTACACAGGCAGTGGAAACCACAGTAAGGACACTGCGCTCAAGCAGTTCTTCGTGTTCCCTATAGCTGATGAGTACCGTGAAGATAAACACAGCACAGTTCTCGAACTGAGGTTTTTATGTACCCAGTATAAAGGAGTCTTCAAAGAAGCCACGTAAAATGTGTATTCTGAAAAAACTGCATACATTCCCAAAATGTTTACACCAAAATAAACTCTTTAATTATATTTTTCCATAAGCTTTTTGCAATCCCCTTGTTTTGATGTTAATGTTTGTAATGGCATTTCTTTTTGAAAAATAATTATTACTTATTTTTAAATTAAATTTTATTTTATAATTTCTTATCTACATTTAGTTGCACATCTTTATGGCATACAATGTTATTTATCTATCTTTTCTTTAAGAGAGAGATTTTTGGGGACCAGCAGTTGGTGTAATGACTATGTCGCTTTAATCCAGTATAGTCAACCGTGGCTTGAGTCCCAGATCTGGTGGCTTAAACTCACGCCGGGCGTGTGTGCATGCGTGCCCAAGATCCTGAGAGGAGAATGGAGGAGAAAGGATTGTGGTGTGGCCATCCCCCCTGGGGAGTGATTTCTTACTTTCTCTCTCTCTGTTTCTTTCTGTTTCTGGCAAGCACATGTGCCCTGTAGCAAGAGACAGAAACAGAAAGCGAGAAATCACCCCCTGAGAGATGGCCACACAGTAATCCCTTTGCCTTCATTCTCCTCTGAGGATTTTGGGCCCTCATGTACATGTGCCCAGTGTGAGTTTTAAGCCACTGGGTCAGGGACTTGAACCACGGTCAGCTACAGGGGAGTCCAGCAACATAACCATTAGGTCATCTGCTGGTCCCACAGTAGGTTTTTTTTTTTTTTTTAAAGAATAATAGCGTTTCTACAATAAAGTTAATAGGATTTTTAGGGAAAGGATTATCATATCATTTTTTAATGTTTTGAGGTTTGAAATTACTTTGAAATATTTCATGTATTTCACAGAAATGTAGACATTCGCACTTCTGTTATTAAGAACTTCTCATCATACTACAGAATCCTGGTGTTTCAGAGTAGAAAGCGGCATTAGAACTATGCCCAAGGCCCGTTCGCTAGCAACCACTGCTGAGTCTTCAGGTTCCCCCTAAATATTATGCATGTACTGCTATTTTTAATTTTTCATTATTAGACGTTATATGTTGACTTACTACATTGTCTTGTGTCCCCTCTGCCCCATGCCACATGCACAAATGTCTCCTCTCTCCATCTTCTCAATATATAGGAATCAATTTTGGGGTCATTCAGTATCTGCTGTTTATATTATTATGACCATGGAACTATTATTCGCAGCTAAGTTACTTAAGTACAGTGTTTATATCTTCTTTCTTATGCTGGCTTGATAGCTTATCTTTCTCATTCCTCTAGTTCTGCTTTTTTGCCAGAATTTGTAAGCTTTCTGACCGAACTCTAACATTCTCTCAATATCTTTTTCTTGGAGACTTCTTCCCTCCTGGACCCTGTGTAGGTAGTTGCTCTTTCAGCATGCTATGGAGTGAAGACAGTACTGGATTTTTTCCCACTAGGGTGTGTTTGACTTGAGAGGAATCCTTTGTATTTGGATACTGTATGCCAAGATTCAGGAAACTTGAGTGGGAAAGAGAACTGCAATCTCAAGGTTTAGTTTTGGGTGTTTAATTTAATCCCTTAGTTCTCAGAATAGTGTTTTCAGTATGCTCAATGTCAGACCCAGGGATTCTCTGATCCAGTTCCTCATGGGGAATAAACTGTCTCTGCTAGAAATGGAGAACGGATCAAGGGTCTAGCTCCTTCTTCTATAACCCTTTGAAAATCTTTCGGTAGAAGTACAACAGAAACATAGAAAAGGCACGAGTAGAAGTGTAGAACTTGACGGATTTCCACTAAGTGAACACATCCATGGAACTAGCACCAAACTGAGAAATAGAGCCTTACTGGTAACCCCGAAACCGTCCTCGCGCCCTTCCTCTTAGTACCCTAAGGATAGTCAAGGCTCTGACTTCTAACACGGAGTTGGTTCTGTACATAACGGAAAGGCACAAAGGGGCTGCACAGGACGTGCTGATGTCCAGCTTCCTTCATTTACATTTCTTTTTAACACGTGAAAAAAGTAAAGCAAAGCATACCAGGTGACTATTATTAGCTTGTACTTTTTTTAAAAGAGAATTTTTTTTTGTTAAAGGGCATGTGTACTCATAAGGAAAGCAAAGCAAAGCATACCAGGTGACTATTAGCTTGTACTTTTTTTAAAAGAGAAATTTTTTTGTTAAAGGGCATGTGTACTCATAAGAGACAGAGACAAAAGGAGAAAAGGCGAGAAATACCCCCCCCAGGGGGGATGCCATGCCACGATCCCTTCTCCTCCATTCACTTCTTGGGTTTTGGGCATGCATGCACATGTGCCTGGAGTGAGTTTCAAGCCGCCGGGTCTGGGACTCGAACCACAGTTGACATGTGAGAGTCTAAGTTTCATAGTGCAATCAGAGGTTTCTGTTTTATTCTTCATGTTGTTTTAGGCATATGGGGGAGGTAGGCCTAAGGAACTTGGTATGTGGGGACTGAGTAAAGGGCAAAGCTGCTGCTGTGTTGGAAAACACAGGTCATTAAACCAGTTTATTTTATAACACACGGCATTAGGAGGTGTTTGTTCCCCACCCCTTTATGCAAGGCAGACATTTTTCTTTCTAATTTGCTAGGGTATGTGGACTCACCGGGGAGAGACTTGGGGGGAATGAGAAAGTACTCCCTCAGGGAGAACTGCCGTGCCACAGTCCGTGCTCTTCCTTTCTCCTCTTGAGATCTTGAACTTGCACGCACACAGGCCTGTTGTGTT